GACTGGTCTTTCCTGAGATGGCCAGATGGACGCTACAGCTGTGGTCACTGCCAGGGCTGGGGCTGCAGCCCCCTCTGGCTGCATGGCTCCAGGTCGGGGCCCCAAACCCGTGCCCGAGGGACCCTGCTCCCCCAGCTGCCGGGCAGCCCCCACCACCCCAGGCAGGCAAGGGAGGGAGGGAACGCGGCCACCCTGTCCCCCGCGGCGCTGCCCTCAGCTCTTCTAATTCCGGTCACATTGCACCGCACCTGCCAGCCGCTGCCGCGCTCTTCCCAGACCCAGTTCGGGGTGAAAGCCTTGCTTATTAGCCAATCTGGATCCCCTTACTGCGAATTACCAGGCCTGCTTGATATTCATGAGCAGATTCCCTGAAACCCCAGTTGGCCACCACGTGACCGCCCGCTGCCTCCGGAGGACACCGGCCAGCACGCAGACCTGGCAGCCCAGCCTGATGCTGCCTCTGTCCTCAGAGGGGGACAGCACGGTGTCCGGGGAGCAGCCTCGGCCGACAGTGCTCCTTCCCCTGTGGCAGGCACGGGCAGCACCGCTGCCCCCACAGCCTAGCACGGGCCCCGCCGCCCCGGTACCTTCTTCCTGCAGCCCCCTCTTCCTTCCTCCGGCTCCTCTGATCGGCCCCACTGTGTGCCATGGAGCGCCATGCCGTCTCCTGGGCCTGGGGTCCTCTTGGTCCTGGGAACCCCTTGGAGGGAGGGACCCATTGGTACCCTCAGGAGAGGAAGCAGATGCAGAGGTTTAAACACAAGCATCAGTGTCAGGGCTTCGATCAGTAATTGTGCTTCCGGGTTAAAGGTGGGAGCTTCGGTTCTCACCCTCAGGGAGTTTCTGGGGCTCAGTCTTTTCTTGTGGACCCAGTGACTTTTGCAGAAGGAGAGGCTGTCCTGCCAGATGACATCAGAGTGACTACTTGATGGTCACCTCAGAAAACACCGAGGCTGCCTGTAACCCATCTCTTTGTTTTAAAAGCTGCTGGAGTCCAGCAGGTGTAGGAGAGGGACTGGGGATGTGCAGACTGTCCCAAGTTCCCTGCCCACTAACTGAATGTTGGTGGCCCATGCCCATCACCCCAGCACTGAGGCGGTGTAACCCCAGGAGTTACACCAGAGACCCCAGCACTGAGGCGGGGGATCGATCAAAGTTTAAGGCCAGTCAGAGCTACCGCCTCAGGAACCAAACAAAACAGAAGGAGACAAACAAGACAGTCAGGAGCTGGGTCTGTTTTACAGGCACCGATGAGTTCAGCCCTGGGCCGCTGTAGCAGGAGCGAGCAGGGGCTGGCTCCTCGTCTCCCCCAGAAATGCGGCTGCAGCAGCCTGTATGGTGCCTGATTTAGGGCTCCTGAGGGAGGCCAGCGAGGCCTTGGGGAGTGGAGAGGAACCGAATGCAGAGAAAGGACACTGAGTCCAGACCTGCAGGGACCCTGGGGATTGGGATGAACTGGGGCTGCTGCTGTGGACCCCGGGAACCCCTGAAGCGGGGGGCTGCATTTCCAGTGCACAGCCGACCCCAGCAGGCTGGGCTGAGCCGGCCACAGGGTGCTCCGGGGGGCTGTGCGGGTTGACCATCAAGCAGAGCCTTCCAGCCGCAGGGGATGAATTCACACCCACAAGACACAGAGAGCCGGGAAGGCTGAGCCTGCGCTGCCCGGGGTGCCGCATCAGAAGCCCCCAGATGCCTTGTTTCTCAGCAGCCGGGCCAGGGGTTACCTGGAGGTCAGCAAGTACCCAGCAGGTGCTGGTGGACAGGACAGCATCCCTGCCCTCCAAGGGATCACAGCAGGGTGGCAGAGCCCACTGGACAGTGCTGTGGGGGCGGTGTGTCGCAGAGGCTAGAGGGTGAGCACCAGAGTTGGGGACCACTGGGGACCCCCTGAAAGGAAGGGGACCTGGACCAGAAGGACAAACAGGTGGCAGTTTGAGGGAGAGGCTGGGAAATAGAAGAGGGAGCTTCCCAGTGCCAGGCGGTGGCCCAGGCAGCAGGGGGGACTGGTGCTGGGTGGCGCCCCCAGAGGGGCTGGCTGCATGCCGAGTAAGAGCCACCTGGGGACGGTGCCCTCGAGGCCCAGTTTCTCACCTTCCCACCCCCATGGCCACGAACGTTTATCTTTGCAGTGTTAGTGTTGCACCAAGCTACATGCCCAGCGCTTTTTATTCTTATTTTGAGAATTTTTATTTTGGGCTTCAAACTCATGGTGATCATCTTGGCTCAGCCTCCGAAGTGCTGGGGTTATAGTTGTGTGCCATCATGCCCAGCCAGGAATCAGGATTTTTTTTTTATTTATTTTTATTTTTATTTTTTTAGGAATTAGGATTTTAACAGCACCCTTCCCAACTCCACCAAGTTCCCGTGTGGATCCTCGACCAGGCCTCTCTAACAGTGCTCCTTAACTTTGCCTGTTTGCTCTGTCGTGGGCACAGCAAGGGAAGCTCAAGTTCCTCATCCCTTACATGAATGGTCCTGTGACCTTTGATGTCTCTGAGCCTCTGTTTCCTCATCTGTCCAGTGGGTACAACAGCTCCATCTCCTCTGTGACGACCCGCTGGAGTCAGGTTTTCAGGAGCAGGTTGCTGGCACTGGATTTCAGGCTTCAGTGTGCCGAATGAGTAAATGCCCGTCTCTCCCCGACTCTTGCAGCTTCAGAGGTGTTTGTGAGTGAAACAGAGCTTGGCATCCGCAGTCCTCAGCAGGTACGGCAGGTTTCTCCATTTTGTGCACTGACTCAAGCTCCAAGTAAAGCACTCTTGGGCCCAGCAAGGCTGGCTCCTGCCTGCAGGTGCCCCTGGGTGCTCACCTTCCTCCTCCGCGGAGGTGGCCGAGGTCATGTGGGGCGTGGTGTTGCGGGCTGGGTAACGCTGTTCCCTGTGCCGCGTGAACCTCCCAGGGCTCCTTGCTGCCCTTGGGCCAGTCCTGCTAGGACTCAGGTGACAGCCACTTCTTCCAGGAAGACTTCCCTGACTTTTGGGGGGCACTGACCCTTCCCCATTGCTCTCTGGGCACCACAGTCTCCAGACTGACTGCCGAGGCCGGGCCAGCTCCTCGGTGCTGACCCTGGTCTCTAACCAGAGGCGGCAGCTGTGCAGTGTTCGGGCAACGCTGGCTGCCATGAGCTGAATGGTGAGCTAAAAGTGGCCTCTTGTCTCCTCACAGAGGCTTCTCATGGACAGCTAATACCTGGGGCCTGGCCTTTCCTTGGAAGAAGTTCTGACAAATGTGCTGGGCGTGGTAGCGCACACCTGTCATCCCAGCGCTCTGGGAGGCTGAGGCAGGAGGATCTGCCTGGTTTGAGTCTAGCCTGGAGAATTTAGCAACTTATTGAGACTGTCTAAAAACAAAATTAAAAAAGGGTTCAGATGCTGCTCAGAGCAAAGGCTCTGGGTCCAACAGTCAATATCAAAAACCAAAACAAGCCAACATTAGACAACCAAGGAACACATCAGATTTTTCCACTTTTCTGATGTGCTTATGTAAGTGAAATTCTGAAGTCAGCCCTAAAGTCCATCAGGGCAGTCCAGCTGGCCTTGAGAATGCCCTAGAGGAGCCTGGTAGAGGCCACGGTGTCATGGCAGATGCTGGGGTCTGTACTGGCACCCTTGCGCTTCTGTCCAGCCAACAGCCCCGGGGTAGTGGGACCTGCAGGCTCCAGGAGGAAGACCCTACTTCCCAGCATCCCTTGCAGCTATGGTCAGCCATGTGCCTGTGCTCCGGCCTCAGGGAGTGGGCAGGACTCTGTGAGAATGTCCAGGCGGTGTCCCTGAGGGCTGGAAAAGGCTTTCGCTGATGGGGTACAGGTGCAGGTGCAGGGTGAGTAAAGAGGTCCCACCCGTCACCTGGGACATGAGAGTGTGGCCTCCAGCCTCTTGGCGGGCCCTGGCATCTGGTGTGTCCCAGCGGAGGGGCTGCCTGGTCCTGTGCACATCTCTGGATGGGCTGGTGCAGCTGGCGCTGGGCCTCAGTGTGCTGCTGTGCTCTGGTTGAGCCCCAGGGAGGACAGTGGCTTCTGATTCAGGGTCTGCCACACACCTGACCCTCACAGCTAATGCAAGGAGAGGCTAATACCGTGAGCACTGCCGCTGGAGCCCCAGCACACAACTGCTGGGATGGGAAATGCTGGGGGGCGGGCTCTGGACCCCAACTATACCGTCCCACACCCACACCCACCACCTTTGGGATTTGCAGGTGTTCCCTGCTGGGCCTCACAAGGTCCACCCCCCATCGAACCTCCCACTCCTGAGCTCAGTTCACTTCCCAGCCTCAGGTTCCTCTCAACGCAACAGGGCCGCCAGCCCTCGCCTGTGACTCCACCAGGACTTAATTGAGTGACTGAATAAAGCACTTTGTAAGCGTCACCTGGGGATTTTGGGGAACCAGGATAGGAAGGACAGTTCTCAGGGAAGACGGGAACAGCTGCCATCCAGAAATCTGCACAGATGAACGTGCTGGCCGTGGGCTGCAGCCCCAGGCTGGGGCGCCATGCAGTCTTCACGAGGACCAGTCAGAGGGAGTGGGGCTCATCAAGGGAGCTGGGGGGAAGGCGCCCTGGCTCCTGGCTGTGCTGTGATATCACAGGGTCCCTCCTGGGGCTTGGGCAGGAGCACTGCAGCCTCCCATATTTCGGGAGTGCCGAGACCTGTTGGAGTGTGGGGGGCACAGCCTTTGTGCCAGGGACAGCCGAGGCTGTGCAGCGCTCAGTGTGGCAGGAACCTTCCGAGCTCAAACCCCGGGCGCTGCAGCCTCGGCTCACGGGAGCACACGGAGGGGCACACAGGTCAGAGCACCCGCCCATGGCCACACCATGGGTGAGCAGCACCTGAGGCACAGGGAAGCAGGGGACAGAGCAGGAGAGCCACAGTGGGCTTCCGCCCACTGACCTGCCTGGACTGGTTTCTGACCTGAGCAATCAGGGGGATTTGGCAGAGCTGGCACCCTTTGCGGCCGTGCGCCCCGTGGTGACTACGGAGGATACGGCAACTGATGGGCACAGCCGTGTTCCAATAAAGCTTTATTCATACAAATGGCAGCAGTCAGGTCTGCCCACAGCTGTAGGTTGCTGACCTGTGTTTTAAATCATTCACAGCAGCTCTTTATTACTTTTATTAAATGTGTACACTTGGTATTTTTCTTTGTAACAACTGGCTGGCTTTCCTTACAGCCTGGCCCAGCACAGGCTGGAGAGGTGGTTACAGGCGGTGGTGGCACGCACCTGAAAATGACGCCACAAATTAACAATTAAAAACGCAGCGCCCGGGCCCTGAGATCGTCTCCTGCTCCCGCTCCTGAGCGGGGAAGAGGAGTGTGGGGGGCTGTGCTCTGCACCCCACGTTTACCTGCAGCAGTTCTCACCTTCTCTGGTTTTTATGCTGCGTTTGCATCAGACTCTTGTTTGGAAATGGAGTTCTGTGGCCAAAAGGATTTGGAATTATCTGAAAGGGGCTTCAGAATGAACTGGGTGCTGCGTGGTGGAGCACAGGCCTTAGCACACAACATGCTCATTGCAACCTCAGCTCAGCAAACAAAATAAAACAACAGTAACAAACCTGGGGGCCTCCAGCTGCGTGCTGGGTTGTCCTGCTGGATCTCTAGAGGGCAGCCACCCAAAAGTCCCATAGGATTTCTTACAGGTAAAAGGACACTTTCCACTTTGCCCCCAGCCTGTCCCTCTCCTGTGCTGGGACCCCCTGTCCCCCCGCCCCTGTCCCCCCTACCAGTCATCTACTCGTGAGGTCTGGGACCTTGCATCGCTGCGTCCCCTCAGTGGCAGCTGACTGCTCTGCTCAATGGGGCCCCAGACCAGGCCTTGTTCACCCCACAGCTGAGCCTTTAGGACCCTCCGGGTCCCTCTCCAGGTTCCATCCCATGTCTCCATGGCCTCCCTACCGATAGCTCCCTGGTCTGAGTCACCTCGGGGTCAGTGGACGGTGGAGGGTCACGCTCTGCTCCCTGCACAGCCTTGGGTCCCAGGGTGGGCTGAGCTGGACGCTGGCCCTGCTGCCCGCCCCTGCCTGCCCAGCAAATTGCAGCCAGTCCCAGCACTGGCCCCTGCACATGCCCTTCTCCCGGGAATGTCACTGTTTCCAAAGACATGCTCATTCCCTTCCATGGCTGCTGGCAGGGGAGAGGGACCACTCGTTTAACAAAGGACCAGGGACACCTTGGCCCTGACAGGCTCACACAGGCCTGGTGCTGCCCTGCTGGGGCACACAGGAGGAAGGGTCCAGTCTCACTAGATCATCTAAGGGAGCGGGCGGGTCCCATGCAGGACTCCGGGAAGCAGCCTACGGGATGGATGGTGCCTTTCTTTTACCGAGAGGCAAGCACTCTGCCCAGCTCTTGTTAGCAACAGCGCTCAGAGTGATGCAAATTGCTGTAAGTGACCCCAGAGAGGCGGAGGGGAGGGAAAAGGCAGAGCCCCACCCTGGTGCTGTCCCGGGGATGCGAGGGGGACCTGCACTCCCCCAGGGCCCCAAAGGGTTAAAGTCACTTTCATTAAAATCTAAATTTCAGCAGGCCTCCCTCTCCCTCCTTTGAACGTGTGACTGGCAACCATTTCATATTTCAATCTCGGCAGAACAAATTGAATTAGATGTCGAAACCGAGCTGGGCTCTGTTCACCAAAGCCTGCGCGCTGGGCCCCGCTAATCCGTCCCAGCCGCAGCCTGTGACAGGGGAGCAGATCGGGACAATACAAAAGACAAAAAGGGAAGCGTCCAGGAAGGCGCCGGAGGGCAGCAGGCTGTGCGGCGGCCTGGGCTGCTGGAGACCGTGCCCTGCCTCGGCCCAGGGGCTGCAAGCCCGGGACAGACCCCGGGGCCACCCAGCAGCCATGTGGGGCCATGCAGGCCTCTGTCCCCACACCTGGGTGCCAGCACACAGGGACACCCAGCGGGCATCTGCGGGATGAAGGGAGTGGGTCAGCGATTGCTTTGCAGCTCTGCCTGGGCTGGTGTCCCTGTCTGCAGGTCGGGCTCCTTCTCCCTGTGCCTGACCCTCCCGGGGTGACGAGCTGCAAGTGCCCTCCTGGAGTCGAGGCGCCTGGGCTGGACTGAGCTCAGGGGTCTCGTGGCCTCCAGCCCCTGCCCTGGGGTTAGAGCCAGCTGGGGGCTGCAGCTCATGTTTTGGGGGTCAGAGGCAGCACTATGGTTGGGGAGTGCATGCCAAGCTTTGGGGTCGCCCATGCCCCGGGCCGTCTGTCAACTGTGGATCAGCCCTGCGCTGAGCTGGGCTTTCAGAGAAGGCAATCTGGCAACTGTGGAGAGTGGGCCCTCCCTGCCCCCAAATGGTACCCCCATGGAAAGGCTGGGGCCGATACAGCAACCCCAGAGCCCAACCCAAGGTCCACCTTGGGACCCTTTCCAATGTGGCTTCTCTCCGAGAGGCTCGGAGCCATCCTGGGCTCCTGTGTGTGATGCTGCTTGCCTGGGCCTGAGTTTGGGCACCTGCTGGGTACAGCCCCACGTTCCTCTGGGTGACAATGATGCTCCTGGGGTGACTGTGTACCGGGCCCTCAACACACACTCACCTCCGTTTATCTCCCCTTTTCAGAGCCATTTATTCTTTAACAGATCTTACGGTACAGGATCTTCCCTGGCCTTCCCTGTGTTCCACCCCAAGTGCACAGACCCAGTGGGTTGCCCACTCGGGGTCAGCAAGCAGGCCATCCTGGTCAGGTGCCCTGCTCCCCCACTCTACCCTGCGGGTCCTTCCTGGTACCCACTCCACCAGCTCCTCTGGGAGTGGGAAGCGCAGAGGGTCAGAGGCCAGTGGGCCACAAGAGCAGGCTGAGCTGGTCCCCAAACCGGAGGGCACAAGGGACAGGTGGGGGTGCCTGAGCCTAGGCTGGCCCTTGGTGGGGCTTATTTTTGGTGACCACAAGGCTGTCCCTTGCCTGCAGGGCAGGGTCATCTGTGCACAAACAACATTCATAGGAAGCCCAAGCAGGAGGTGCACAGGAGCAGCAGCAGATGGGACAGGACAGGTCCCAGGCCCGCCATCCCCCTCGGTCCCTGGTGGTCCACCCTGTGGCTTTACACTGGCCCTGCTGTGCGGCCCTCACCCAGAGGGCCGAGCCCGCCATGCCAGCGGCTGGGTACCTCACTGGAGAAGGCGGGGCACAGCCACTCCGGGTTTCTGTCATTGTTGCTGATTCTCAGGGACAGGCCAGGGTGACAGGTGCTGCCCATCGGGCACCACGGGCCCAGGTGGGGTCTGGGCCACTCCGAGGGCTGCACAGGACCAGGCCTTGCATGCACAGAAAGACGGGCACCTGTGCCTCCCTGGCATCACCTTCGGCTCCAAATGAAAGGGCCTCAGGGCAGGGGAGCGGCTCGGGTTTACTGCCCTGACCTGCTGTTCTCCAGCACTGCCTGCCCGGGGCCACAGCACCCACCCTGCGGGACACGAAGGAGGACCCGGTGTCAAGGCTGCACGGCTGGAGCGGCTTGTGTGGGGAGCGGGACTGAGGACTGTGGCCCCCTCTCCCCTCCGTGTCCCTGGCCATGGCCGTGCTGGCTCCAGGGCTGCAGAGGGCTCGCACACAGCGCTCCTTGAAGGGGACCAGCTGGGGACGCCGCTTGCTGGGCCCAGAGCCTCGCTGCGTTCCCTGACCCCACTGTGTCCCAGCTGGGCGTGTCTGGTCAGCCTGGTGCTGGAGGCCCTCGGAAGTGTCTCGGGGTGACAGCAGGCTCATGGTCCCTGTAGCCAGGATTTGAAGATGGAGGCTTAGTCCTCAGGAGAAGTAGGTGGCTCCTGGGCGGCAGCCTGGGGCGGGAAAGGCAGCTCCAGGGCTCAGCACTGTGCGTCTCTGGGATGCCGGTCTGTGTCTCATAGAGGCCTTGGGTGGGGGAGCCAGTGGGGGAGTGAGGAGGGCCCAGGCCAGGAGGTCTGGGACCAGGCCGGGGTCTCCTGCAGCTGTGTGGCGGCCCTGCCGCTCCCTGCCCCCAGCCCCCGCTGCAGGAGCAGCTGTCCCGTCCCCAATGCCCGCAGCTGCCTACCTGGTGGTGCTAGCTCACACCCGCAGGCTCTGCTCCTCCCCGTCGCTTTCGCTGTCCTCCAGCTGCTGCAGGATCCCATCCAGCACGGCAGACCGCTTCTTCTTCGGGGGCTCTGGGGGACCAAGATGGTGAGAGGTGGCAACGGGGCACAGCGAGGGCATCAGCCTCCAGCCCCTCTTCCCTCTGTCCCTGCCAGCCAGCTCCCTCCCCCTGCACCCCCAGAGCAGAGGGCACCCTCAGAGGGAGGGTGTCCTACTTGACTCCATTCTCTCCACAGGCCAGAGGCTGAGCCCAGCACAGCCAGTGGCTAGGGAAACAAGTAGAAACCAGTCCTGTTTCCTTGGAGACCAGGGACTCTAACAATGTAGTAAGTGGCTGGACCTGAATACATGTTCGGGACATGCATTCGAAGCCCTAAATGTCCAGAGGAGGAAAGGACTATCAAGTAGGAATAGCTTGGGAGATGAGGGGCTATTTGACTTGGGCTTTGATAAAAGCAGAGGAGTTTTCTGTTTGGAGAAGAACTGGGGATGGGATCCAGGTGAGTGCTGTGAAGAAAGCCAGGAGGTCTGAAAGGGCGTGGAGGGTGATACACACACACCTCCTGGGCCCGGGAAACTGCGGGGCGAGTCTCCACTGTGCGCTGGGGCCTCCTCCTAGTGAGCTCCAGGGCTGGTGAGGGAATGGGTGGGTGGGTCTAAGGCGGTCCGGCCAGGAAGTGGAGGGGCCAGGACGGGAGCCCAGGGTACTCCTAGGTAGGCCCATGGTACCTCTGCTTTCCACGGCCGTCTCTGGCCCTGGCTAGCGAAGGCATAGGGAGCCTGGATAGTGCGCTGGTGCCCTGGCTCCAGCCGTCTGTCCCTCCCCCAGGGCCCAAGTCCTGCCCCTCTGTGGAGCCTGCTCGCAGCTCCTGTGGACAGCACCCTGCCAAGCAGGCCTTTCTGGCCTGGCCGGACCCGATCCCCGACCTTTGCCTCTGCTCAGCCCTCCTAGCTGAGGCCGTGCACCAGTACTGTCCCCTCCACAGAAGGGACCTTCTTTTTTCTTTTTGCTTTTTGAGCAGAGTTCTGCTATGCAGCACAGGTTGGCTTTGAAACCAGTGATGCTCCTGCCTACGCCTGAGTGCTGGGATCACAGGGTGCCCACGCCCTGCTCCCCTCCTTCCTGTGGTGCCCCCTCCCTCATCCTTCTCTGATCTTGTGCTGTCATCACCAACCCCAAAGCGGCCATGTCTTTGCTGGTACACCACCCTGCTCACAGCTCACCGCTGCGCCCCCAGCCGGGCCATGGCCTGGTGCAGAGGGCTGAGGAGCCCCTCCCCCCACGGACAAGGGAGCCTCGGAGGGGCTGCTGCCACCCACCGAGCCTGGAGGCCTGGCAGCTGCACCCACCATTGTCAGTGATGAAAGCCCACAGGGACCAGGCAGGGGCGCCTCCCGCTGCGCTCCCTGCTCACACAATGGCCTCTGGAAATTGAATTTGAGGGCAGGTAATAGATGCTGGAAACAGAAGGGGATGGAACAGGGCCCCTCCCAGCCACGACACCAGGCAGAGTCCTCCCCTCAGGTCAGCTGCTGCACTAGGCCAGCCGGCCAGGGTCAGGGGTGGTCAGCGGGACCTTCCACCCCGCCCTTGCAGCCTGAGCCCCAGACTGGCCGGGTGGCAAGTTCCCTCCCAAGTGGTTAAGGTGGCTTCAGCCCTAAGACAGAATCTGGCTGGCCCCGGCGATGCACACCGATTTCCTGCCTCTTGGGAGGCAGAGGCAGGAGAATTTGAGAAACTGAGCCAGCCTGGGCTATGCAGGAAGGGACCGCCTGCATCAAGGTGAAAGTTACAAAGGGCTGGGGTGCAGCTCTGTGGTGAACACTGGCCTAGTGCAGGCCTGCCCACAGTTTCTCTTTGGACCTCTCTGACCAATAGGGCAGGCTCATCTGTTGGTTGCTGCTCTGTCCTGAAGCCTAAACAGTATCCCTGTGGATACTGTGTTTGCTGAGTGACTGAGTGAAGTTCATGCTGTTGAAGACAAGCAGAGAGGAGGCCACAAGCAGTTTCCCTTTACAGGCCAGACACTCAGGGGGCAGGCACAGCCTCAACAAGGCAGCTCAAACCCCCCTAGGACAAAGACAGTTCCCCCCAGACACCTGCGACTCAGGGCAGGATTCGCCTGGTGTCAGGCAGGCGCCTGTTCCCGTGCTGGGCGACCAGGGGGCTTCCTGGAGGAGGTGACCCTGTGAGTGGCCCAGCTGACTCCCAGCCCAGGCCCTCGTTCCACACCACCTGGCCAGCTGTCCTCCGGCATGGAGCAGTGGGGACAGCCTGGTGGCACCCAGCACCTGGATGCTTCTCCACTTAGCACCGCTGGGCTCCTCTCTGCCTGAGAGCTGGGCCTCCCTGCTTCCAGGCCCTGTGGCCACTCCCACCATCCTACTGGGCCTGGGCCCGTGCTCCGACCTGGCCTGAAGCTTTCAACCCTGTCCCTCCAGCAGGGGCCTGAGGTGGCCCAGCCATGCCCCTTTAGCACACCGGCTCTTACTGGGCAGTGTGGGTACCAGGCTGCTCAGGGAAGGCTGTCACTGGTTGCTTTCACTGCACCAGCTGGCCCTGGCACCCTGCACCTCTGGCCTGCAGTGACCCCGCGCCAGGCCCAGGGTTCGAGGCATCTGGACGGTCCCAGCACCCGCCCACCCCAGGGCCTCGTGAAGAGGAGCCAGCCCACAAGTGGTGTGGGTTTTACCTCTGTGCCTCAGTTTCCTCATTCAGCTCCTGGCCCACCCTGCATGGATTAAGTGCTCCAGGATCAGCGCAGCGTGGGCTGACGCTAGCTTGAGTCCACAGTCAGGGTTCAGGACGGCCCCCCATGCCCACGCTGGGATGCGCCGGGCTCCGCCCCCTGTAGACACAACACCCCAGTTCCTGCCCAAACAGCTGCTGAGTCCCATGGCCCGACATCAAAAGCCTCAGTGGGTTTCACCAGCACACACAATGCCGAAGCAGAGAAAGGTATAAACTAAATAAACGGAACAAGCTGTGCATTTTCTCTCGGTGTTACAGCTGCACCCGGAGATAAACAACGAATGAATGTCACCGAACATCAATACCCGAGAAATTAACTCGACAAAAGCCCAGCCACCCCCAACAAACCCCAGTCCTGCCCCAGCCCCCCAGCCTCCAACCACCGACTCTGCATTTCTGGAGTTCCCTCCTAATGATTTTATTTTTCAATTAATTCCTTGACAGAATGCCAGCCCGCATCGCTCCCTCCCTTCCCCGGCTGGTGCTGTCACCGCCGCTGCAGCCTGTGAAGCCCCGGTGGGTGGTGAGAGAGGCTGTGGGACAGAGGCAGCGCTCCCTCGCCAGGAGTTAGTTTCTGGGCAGTGAGGAGGAAGGGCTGACCCCCTGATCGAAGTGGGATTCTTAAGGGTCTGGAGAAGAGGCGGCCTGTCAGCCAGGGGAGGGGCCAGATCCCTGCAGCTCCTGGCTGGGAGACTGCGGGCAAACTGCTTCACCTCTCTGGGCTGGGTCTCTGCTCAGCTGCCCAGGGTGTCTGAGAATGTAAGCCAGGCATGGTGATGCATGCTCATAATTCCAGGCACTCACGACTCAGGAGGCTGAGGCAGGAGGACTGCAGGTTCAAAGCCAGCCTGGACCATTTTGTAAGACCTGATTTCCCTCCCACCAAAGGTGACCTGTCAGGCTGAAGAGCCCTGCCTGGCACACAGTGGGCACTCAGCACAGGACACCACTGCTCCGCTCTCTAAATCAAGGGGGCCTCCATGCTGGCCCCTGAGGGCATCTACGTATTTGGATGTGAAAAGGGCGATCAGCTGTCGCACCCACTCTGGGCGCTGCTCCCCAGGAACCTGCTCCCCGGTTCCTGCCTCGCACCTCTGGGCACAGCCTGCTGCTCCCTGCCTGGTTGTCACTGCTGCCCAGGTCCTCACTGTCCCACACAGGATAAAGTGTGTGCAGCGCTGCCTGCCTGTCCTGGTGTCCCCAGGTGTACCCCCACCCCCTAGATGGGGCCTTCTGTGGTTCCTGCTAAAAGGGCACCATGGTGGCTCCCAGACAGTACCAGTCCTGGGGTCACCAGCGACCTGCGACTCTCACCGTGGGAGCTGGGGGCACCCAAGTCACATGGCATTCTGGGGTCCTGCAGGGCACCATGGAATACTGCATGGTGGGTGTGTGTGGCCCCCTACCCCGTCCCCTGCTCCCCTCCTGCCCTCAGGGCTCCTCCCTGCCGTCCACCTGGGCGGCACCTCAGGCTCTGGGCAGGTCCGCCCCAGCGTGGTTTATAGCAGGTGCACACTATGTGCTCAGCCAGTCCCTCTCGGAGCCAGCGGGCAGGACCCAGACCCAGCACCCAGCACCCAGCCCTGGCCCGCCTCTTCACAGGCTCCCAGCTTCCGTCTGTTGACTGGGACCCGGGTTTGGGAGGTCGAAGGAACCAAAACCCAAAGGATAAACCGAACCACTGGCTGGGGGGTGGGTGTCACACCGGGGCTCAGGGTGGCAGGACTGCAGTGTTCTGCACTTGGGGTTCCAGCGTCCTTGTGTTACTCCATGTGGGCAGTAGGGCTGGAAGTGGCGGCAAGCACAGGGCTGAGGGCAGGAAGCCTGGGCCTGGCTCGAAGGGTGCCGTGGACAGTGAAATCAGACTTTCATGAGGGCAACCCAGAGGAGGAAAGTGCCCCGCAAATGGAGAACCCAGCTGCCCAAAGTAGGGCTGGAGACACAAAGCAGGGGAGAGTCCCTCCGGCTCTGGGCAGTGGGCCGGGGCAGATTTTCCTCAAGTCCCAAGGGACAGCGCGGTCCCAGTTTCTGGCTGAGGAAGTGGTGGCTCCAAGGCTCTGGGAAGTCATGTGACAGGGGCCTGGCACGAAAGGCAGCTGCTCCCCCGACGCCAGCCCAAGGCCACCGGCCAGCCCTGCTGCAGGAGGAGGCCCTCGGCAGGAGAGGGGCTGTACCCACACTGCACCCACAGGTTCCTCGGAGGCCACAGGCCCCTCCCTACCCAGTGCCTGGCAGAACCAGCCAGGAGCAAACCCCGGAGGTTGGGAGCTACTTCACAGACCGGGCCAGCGGCCTGGGCAGGCACCGAATGTCACAGCT